CCCCAAAACCCCAAAACCCCAAAACCCCAAAACCCCTTTTCCCAACTTTCCAACTGAAAATAAATATGGACAAAGAGAAGATATCACAGATTCTTATTGATGTACACTTTATTACTCTGAAACTAGGTTTATTCTCAGTAGTTTCTCCTATCCTAATTTGCCATAATTGGGTCTCAAGTCTTACAGGCTTGTCTTCATGAGATAATAATGGACAAGAAATCTCATGAGAGATCTTTCAAGTCACTTTTACCGTTTGAGATTTATGAATAAGTCTTGATATTTATTTTCTGTGTTTACGTGAAGCTTCCAAGAATTATTAATATCTACTAGATGCTGTATCCTCAGTATCTGGCTTAGCATACTCAGGAGATAATTGTATATAGTGTAGAAGAGCGTCTGATAATATAATAAACACTTTCAGAGAGAGGATAGATGAAGAAAATATCAGGGTCAAATAGCCACCTCATCGCTGCGTACCAGAAAGAGTATAAGTAAGTCCTTCTCAGGTCTTGATAAAATTTCCAGCTGTGCTCATCCCCTAAAAGATCTTGCAACTAGCCCTATTATTCACCTACTTAAAGTTATTACAAATTTGCCTTTAACGATCGTTCGTTTAAGATTTAACATTAGAATCTTGACTAAAATTGAAGGACTAATTTAGACTCACCTCTTGGGCCTATTAAATATTCATTGTCTTATCCAATTGGTAAAGCAAATGAGAAGAGTTATCAGACCGAAATCTTTCATAAAATCATTCAGCTTCCTTCTTGCTACCTGAGATTGATAACAAAGAGTTGGCATACTTCATATTTCCCTAAAGTCTTAAAAATTTTACTACCTGGGCCCAAAGTTAGCTTTATAAAGGAGGAAGAGTATTTAGAGACAAGAACTCTCTTTGGAAATTTCTAATAGCTCATTTTGACTCAGAAGACAACTTCTTTGAGCACTAAATAACTCATTATTCCAGAAAGCTTGAGTATGGGACAAACATTTTATGTCATAATAATATGTTAAACTTTGAATTTAACCAATAATCCTAACCCTGCCCTCTAGCGACCTGTAAGCCTGTTGCTAAAAATAGCTGGAAGAGGATAATTCAAGACTTTGAAGACCGCGAGAACAAAATATAGACTTCCTTGTACACAAAGTTGAACAAAAGGAACGAGAAATTATGTCTAACAAGCGAGTTCAGGACCTGACCAAGAACCTCTCAGCTGCAAATAAAGATGCTATCAGGCTAAAGAACTCTGATGATGCGAATAAGAAAAGGATCCAGAAACTGAACCTCAGTAAGAATTTCTTAAGAGATGATATGAACTATTACAAATAAACAAGTGAAGCAGAACCTAATGGAACAAAAAGTAGTCCAGAACAAATTCAATGAAATAAATGCTGAAAATAAGACTCTAAAGGAACAAGTGAGTAAACTACAAACAGTATTGGAGCAAGCCCAAGAGAGGATAAGAGAGATGTAAGCGGACGGGTGATGGATTTATAAAGAAAAAGAACCTTCATGTGACTGTAATGAGTTATTAGAGTATTTGAAAAGAGATTTTAAACAAGGGAATACGGAGGAGAGTGGGAGAAATAGTGGGAAAACACAAGCATGAGTTAAGAGCAAATTTGCCAAGATATATAAGCAGCTCCATGACCAGATTAAGAGCCTAAAGAAGGAGCTTCTTAAATTAAAAATCGCTAAAATTGATAGCGTAAATAATCATGAAACAGCTACTGATTTGCAGAGCATAGTCTCTATGCCAGAGAACTGTGTCCTAAGTATCCCAGAACGAGTCATAAGGTATAACTTTTATTTTATATATAGACCTAGCCAATCCCCCAGAACTGCAAGGCCATCAGAAAGGAAAAAGATTAAGATAGGTGAAGCTCACCTAAAAGACCCAATACATCATATGAATAAATGCAAAGAAAGATCTATTAAGGGTACAAAGACCCCTCGACTTGGAAATTTCTTCAAAGCCTACCAGAAGCACCATCTGCAATCCTATTCTCCAGTATTTTCAGAGCGGCTCAACAGGATGAGATTTTCAGAAGACGCTTCCAAATTTACTAACGCTCAAATAAAAGAACTATCACGCCAAAAAGAGCTCCAGAGCTGATTCTCACATAACGAGTTAGAGAATTTTCAGAAAATAATGGCTGATCCATTTGACTGAGTCGAAGCCACTATAGATATCAACCCCAGAGCTAGCTTAGCCTTCAAGACAAGTAGAGCTCCTTTGTCCCCATCTGTCAAGCTCAGGAAGGGCAAAAAACACGTATTCAGGATCAAACAGGCCTCCCCAATCCCCAAAACGGATACCTAAATAATCTCTCCAAAAACCCCTCCAAACAGCTCTAATCTCTCTCACTCCTAAAATTCTCCCCACTCTCCAGTCAAACCCTCCCTATAAAGACCTCTCTCCAGCCCCAAAAATGCACTCAAAAACCCCATTTCTCCCATAAAATCCTTCCCAAATTCCCAAATTTTCAGACTATTTTCCCAGTAGGAATCTGACTATAGCCTCTCTTTATTCCTAAGTCCTCTAAATTTCAGCTATTTTTAAAGCCTCAAGGCTGCCTCTATAATTTAGTGGCCCACCTAAACTTGTTACTGATATAATACTTATTCCTCAGTTCTAAATTGAAGATTTCAGCTACGAAGAAATTTTATAAGGATGTCTTTTGACAACCTATAAGTCCCAGAGCTTCAAGCAAGCTTGAAGCTCTGAGGCCGAGACTAGATCTGTAGGTAATTTAAAATTGAATTTTTTAACCCAAATTAGTGGCTAGCTTGGAAGAAGGCTATTATTGTAGGTGAATTTCCTCTTGAATCTTACAAAATTTATGAAAAATTCAGAACAAATTTCTTAAAACTTAGGGCGGTATTAGGCTGGTTTTAGAAATTTGAAGAAAGATTTTGTAAGTGGACTCTCTCTAGAAGGACAGTTGAGGACATGAAGCAGGCTGTGTAGAGGGTCAAGGGCTAGTAGGGATAAAGAAAAGAGCTTGCAGGCATACTGATGGGATTTAGGTGCCTATATTTTTGAATTTTGTGATTAGCTTAAGCATAAGTTGGATTATAGATCCACTTGAAAATAGCTATTTATGAAATAATAGGATTTCTTTATAAATTCTTGGTTGTTTCTTATCTTCTTTCTAATATTTCATATTATGGATATTAGAAGAAAAGATAGTGGATAAGAGAGCAAATTTTAGAGGCTCATAGATATTAAATTAGTGTTAATAGGGCTCATTTTCAACTTCAGCAATTTTGGTCAAAACCAGTGTTTGATTATCGGCCAAAATAATTTATTTTCCCTCCCAAATTACAAAGACGAGATTTGCCCATTGATTTAAACTATGGCTTTAAATTAAAGGATGACCAACAAACAAGTCAAATAGATACCACTTCCAAAGAAATACTTAGAGATTAATTAAATTATGGCCAGCAAGTCTGCACTAAGCCATAGGTTGTACCAACTCACTGGGAGCTTTCCTCTGAGGTGAGAAGAACCTCCTGTTCTTCTTACACTCCAATTCTGGCAGATTTCTTTGAACTCTATAATACAAAATTAGTAAATTTCTCCAAATCAGGTTTATCATTAGCTTTGTTAACCTCAGCTTTAGTAAACCCCAGCTATCTCAAAGAATTGCTTACTCTTTTGTTCTGAAAATAGGACTTCTTAGGACCCTTCTGAGCTTCCTGGGAGACCTGAAGCCTCTTGAGTGCCTGAAGCTCCCACTCGAGAGTTTTTGTTTAATAATCTTATGGACTCTCATGAAGACCTTCTGCCTCTCCTTCAGGATGAGGTCTTCAGAAGCCCCAGTACCTTCGAGATTGGTTTCGAAGAGATATCTTAGTTTGCCAGTTGAAGCCCTTAACTTGAGCTGGGAGTCTGAACCAACCTTGGCTTTAAGCATCCTGTCCTTATTGATTAATGGCAGCATTTCTTGGCACTGGTCCACCCCATTTTGCATGTTTGTAGAATTTGATGAAAACATATTTATTAAATTATATACTATTCCCAACAACCTGTGACTTATAAGGGGTTTTGGGGTTTTGGGGTTTTGGGG